AAATTTTGGTCACGTCCGCAACACAACATTTTTGTTAATAAATCCATGGTAACAAGTAATTTCTATAATATCTTTTCAGATTTATGAAGCACAATTACTATTGCATTTAGTTAGTGTATGCAGTTTTTTTTTTAAAGGTTTTCAATTCACAGGAAATTTGAACTAACCAAAAGCAATTCAAATCAGTGGTTGTTTTAGGAGTCACATCCACAACACACTTTGAAAAATTCTTTTCTCTGGATCTCTAAGAGATAGTCAAAATGTTTTCTGGCAAAATAAAAGGTACTTCAGGGGTAATTTATGACATGACTCATTTCAATTCAAATAGTTCGGATCTGGCTTTAGGAGACATTTAATACTCAAATTTTGCCTCTAAATGTCACGTCCGCAACGTGGAATTGACCTTACACATAATAGCTGACCAACATGTGTTTTAATAACTTCTATTGTTGGTCACTGTGAGGCCTTACAAATGTAACAAAAGGAGGTGAGGCCCTATAATTGACTATGGACTGCAAATGATTGTTATGTACAAAGGGCAGTTTTTAAGGGCATGGTGACATATCCTGAGTTAAAATTTCCACAAGTTCCCTTCTCCTAGCCCCCAGATAAGTACAATTTCTGTTCTTGGTTACCACTGACAAAAGTCATGGAAAAGCAGGGAGGATACAAATTTTTGTCTCGCCACTGCTCCCACTTTGTCCTTGCTAACCCACCCACATTCCTGCATATTGTAGTGAGTTGTTTGCAACCCCTACCAGTGTTCACAAGCAACCAAAAATAACTGGCAGGAATGTGGATGGCTCAGTAGAAGTATAAATGGAGAGGAAGCTAGGCAAAAATGTGGACCTATTCCATGGTCCTGAGATTTTCTGGGGTTTAATTAGTGATAATAACATGTAAAAAATGTAATTAGAGAAATTAAAACAATAATCCCAATGGCAACTCGTTGCACTTTGCAGCCTCCTCTTAAGAAGGTTATTAGAGAAGACCTTACAGAAGAGAACGTCATGTCACACATGCCAGAGCTGAGCCGGAAAAAACAACAAGAGGTGAAATCATAAAGTGAAATAATAGGTTAAACCTTTCATTTATGTTTAATATAACTGTGAGAATTAACTTTTTCAACAGTGAGGTCATATATTCTGCTTCTTCTTGACATCATACAATTTCCTTATTTGAACCAAGTGTTCTTGTACATCAGGGGTTGTCAATCCAGTGATCAAAATTGATCCATCTAGTGTAACTTATACATCTATTTTTCAACAAGATACTTTTAAAAGGTTCATTTGTGAAGTCTTTAAGGTACATTTATTGATTTTACTTTAAAGACTGCTCTATGACTGGGTATAGTCCTGCATTCCTCATTTGTTATTCGAAGGTGTTGAATTTCTGAATAGATACAACTCTTGACGGCTTGCTTAAGTACTGTTAGTATTTTATTCTTAATTATTAATATTATTATTATAAACAGGTGAGATCAGTTGTGCAAGCCTTGATGAAGTCAATTAGCTATACAAAGCATATACTGTCACTGGAGGTATGGCACAGATGTTACCTCCCAGATGAGAATTATGTGAATTTATAAGTGTGGTATATCTGATGGTACACATTCTTTGTTGTTGTTGTTATTTTTTTAAATCATACTGCATTCAGACCACACTAAAACACCCAACTATTATCATTAGCTAATACCCCTGAATAAGCCCCACACCCTGTGGTAAAGGTATACATCAATTTTCTTAGTGAAATGTTGAAAACAGGATTTTATTTCTTTTGGTAGATAAAAATACTCAAGGAGGAACTATCATTTCATCGGCAAGTTTATCAATGCCAGGTTGATTATGCAGAGTCCCTGCTGTCTGCAGTAAGGTAAGTTTTAAGAGTTTTTTTCTTAAACAAAAGCTCATCTTTCAAACTGGCAGTCTAAACCCCACAGGGATCAATGAATGCTTTTCATTCCACAGATTTATTCGTGTTTTTCTCATTGCCATGTTCCCACCAATAATGTAGCTCCATTTTCTGCCTTTAAAAGCACACACAACCCACAATTCCTCTATTCGCTCCGACGAAGGGCTAACGCTCGAAACGTCAGCTTTTGTAATCGTTACGGTGGCCAATTTACCATTTCAACTTTGTTGATATATCCAAATTTTTTTGTTACCCCCACCAACGCAGTCCCAAACAGTTTCTTTGGAAACTATCAGCCTTTATTCATAAGTTTTAAGGGGTTGTGCCTGGGTTGTAAAATTGTTATGTTGTATATTCAGTAACAGAGGTGTAAAACTCTCAATTTCAGCAATTTTATCGATCGGACAGAGCAAATTAATGATTAGAAGAAGGGTTTTAAAAACAACTTACAATGATTTTAGAATAATTAAATCCTATTAAATCTTATGAGTGAAAATTTAGGGAAATATTATATTTTTTCATTATTGGCAGAGAGGCATACCAGAAATTTGAAGGAAATCTCATGAAACTGCTTTGTGAGCCTTTGGAAGGTAACTTTGTTTTTATTTTCCTCCTCTTTTTATTTTCCATTTTAGTTATTGATTTACAGGTTTTGTTTTCTATTCTGGACAGATATACTCAGTGCTTACAGAAAACTGAAGAACACAGCTTCTGAAGATGATTTGCAAACTTTTCTGTCCACATTCAAGGACCATGAATCACAGGTACAGAGTAACTTTTACTTGTGAGAGCCAATGATGTTAAACCCTGCCCCTGAATCCCATGTGATGCTGGAGAACAGGGAATTCATTTGCTTTAAACATGTCTGCAAGTTGTCTATTTTACTTCCCCCACTGGGTGTTTGGATTTGTTAAATCCCCTGTCACTTGTTGTTTAACTTAAACAATGATAAAAAAGGTAAGACAGTATGAAATTACTAGAAGAGCTAATCTTAAAATGTGAGGGTTGATAAAGTATTGGAGGATGTCACTTTACTTCAGTGTTTGCTAATGTCTCACTAGTTCTCAGATGCAATGGATCTTCTTCAGCCCAAGAAGGAAAAGGAAGAATCAGGCAAGATAAAAACCTCAATTCAATTAATTTTGAACTTGCACATAAGAATGTATGATGTTCATAACATAAAAAGGGATAAACAAAGTCTGGTCTGCTTTATAGCAAAAACATGGCATAACTCACAGAAATAGGAAACGTTATATTTTGCAACATGGCGCTAAGTCTTAGGTCCTTCTAAAAAGTCACATTATTTGTTGTTTTAAGGTATCACAGCTCTCTCAGAGTTCCAAACTCACTTTGTTGACTCTTTGCACTCACTCACAAGGAAGTGTGTTTCAAAGAGGGATATGCTGATGAAGCAGTTGCTTGAAGCTAAAGATGGTGGGCTGAAAGAGGACACCACTACATGTAGATTAATTGCTGATGGTGAGGCAGTGAACACTTCAGGGAGTGGGAAAGGACTCAGCTTGTCACAACAAGTGAAAACATTACAATGATGAAAACATCACAACATCACTGTGTCATCAGTGTATATTCCCTCACATGCCTCACCAGCTTTGATGATTTGAATCTTCTGAACAATGGCATCAGTCACCCCTCCATGCTCAGATGTTACATTTAATGAATTTCAAACAGGACGTCAGCCATTAATTCAAGTTGTGGCCAAGTAGGAAGCTATTCTAACTGCAGTTTGATATCTTGTTTAATCGTAAAATATGCAATCTCCTTGACTGTGATTGGTTTAAAAAAAAAACTACTATTTTCCACTAATTCACTTGCCAAGTTGTTATTGGACAGTTTCTTATTGGACATTTTGTTATCAGACAGTTTAATAAGCCAATCAGATTCAAAGGTGTAGTTTACATCAACCAATCAAATTCAAAGTTGGTTGTAGTCAATTTCAGAGTTACATTAACCCATTAATAGACACAGCTTTTGTGAAAAACTGTGTTTTGAAGCTAGTCGAGCAGATTTTGGGTCACTGTTGTGGTTTTAAAAGCTCAAACTTACCACAAACCCATTGACAGCTTGTACACTCAACAGCCTTTCAATCCAAATGCAAAATGGTAGTCTGAAAATCTCGGGCACGCGCAGAAAGCAAAATTTCTTTTACTTTTCTCTCTTTCTCCTGCCCNTTTCGTGCAGATTTTCAGGTCAAAGTTACATGGTTTTTTGGCTATTTCTCCAATCTCCTTCATTCAATTTCACTCATTCTGGTTTCGTTTGTAAGATATTTTCAACCTGTTCGAGTACGTGTTCAAAGTCATGCTACAGGGTTAAAAGGGATGACGTCACAAGGTGTAGAAAGAGTGTGGGTCCACATGGGCACTTACGGGCACACTGGACGTCAATAGGTTAAACAAATTATGTCACCTTTGTCAGACTTTAAATGTAATTTTCCTTTTCTTTCATCACTTGGCTATTCTTCTTTTCTCAGAAATTGTAATTTTTATGATTAATTGGCAAGAAGTCTTTATGTTGTCCAATTTGGTCTGTAATCATACTCACAATGAACAAATCAGAATCCTGTGGCACAATCATCTAATTTTGTTTACACTCCGACCAAATTGGATGCCACTCAATCCTATTACCATTACTAAACCATGAGCTTTATCCAAAGGGAAAAGCTCAGAGGTTGTTTTCTTCATTAAGTCTAACAAATTTTGTTAGTACAATTGAGGACACTTGTTAATTTATACTTTTGTTTATTACATTTTTCCATCAACTAATAAATGTACCTGTTACTTTCTTCATATAAAATATTGTTAAAATGATAGGAGTTTCAAAAGTGAAAAATCTTTTAAAGAAAGAAATAGTTAAAATGCATGCAAGAAAAGCTAGTGTTCATCACATTAAACTCTGACACATACATGCCTTTTTATAAGAATAAATGACAAGTACCTTTTACAACCATGAGTCTTGCATAGGAACAATATTTGAAAATGAAATTATGATGGAAGAAAATGAGCTAAAATAATGACAGGAAAATGGTGGCTTTCTGCAGCAGGGTTGTGAAATTTGATAACTGATAAAGAATCAATCATAAAATTCTGAAATAACCACCTCAGAGGGGATATCTCTATTGCAGAATGTTATTGAATTGAAAGCAAGAAGGATAATTATTCTCACTCAAGATGTGGTAGTTTTGGTATATCAGTCCTTCACATGCTAGTGTTATTCAATGTACATGTAGGCAACTGACTCACTTGACAGTCGATTTACAGGTACTGGTAGTATATTATTACAGTTTCGTAAGTAGACCATCAAAACTCCAACTTACAAATTTGTAGAAATGGTCTGAGTTTGCACATGTGGAAAGCAGATTTGCATAACAGTAGCATGTCTCAGTTGATTTAGTATATTACTGAAGTTTCACAAGTTGAACTTCAAACTCCAATGTACTGTTTGGTGGAATTGGTCCCATCTTTTTATGACCATATCTGCAAATGACAATCATATTTACACATCAACTCTGTAAGATATTGTACGAGACTCTGCACCAGGGCTGTCACTAAGTTTTGAAGTGACTGTTACATTGAGGATATCACCTGTAGCATTGTGATACGTGCCCTAGTGTAATGTGACAGTAATTGCCATTTTCACCTGTAGCATTGTGATACGTGCCCCAGTGTAATGTGACAGTAATTGCCATTTTCACCTGTAGCATTGTGATACGTGCCCCAGTGTAATGTGACAGTAATTGCCATTTTCACCTGTAGCATTGTGATACGTGCCCCAGTGTAATGTGACAGTAATTGCCATTTTCACCTGTAGCATTGTGATACGTGCCCCAGTGTAATGTGACAGTAATTGCCATTTTCACCTGTAGCATTGTGATACGTGCCCCAGTGTAATGTGACAGTAATTGCCATTTTCACCTGTAACATTGACTGAGCTCAACAGGTGCCCTAGTTGACAAACTTGATTACTAATAAAATGGCTGCAAAGTTCACCTGGGGTAGTTACTTGTTACAAAAAGCATGTGTGGGGTACTTTCACATAACATGATCAAATTAAGCACTACATTAAGTTCGTTGCGTATCAAAGATGTCTCCAGGATACTGTAACAGATAACCTACCCTTGTGATGGAGGCACTATTAATCTTCTTTTTCCACCTACTTGCATTCCTGTGTGAAAAAGAACAACCTTGGTTGACTCGCAATTAATTTTGACATATATCAGTTTTTGGCATAAAGAAATTCTAGGCTTCAAATTCAAATTAAAAGGAAGATTGCCTTGGCAGAATAAATGTTCAAACACCTACCAGTGACACCCAGATCCCAGCCTTGTATGACCTCTCCTGCACCAACTCTGAATGAGAATGGACGTCCACTCAGACAAGCATCAAACTGCTTTTTATTCTTTGCTAAATTTCCTTTATAATATACATGAACCTGTTGAAAGAAATTAAAAAAAAAATTGTAATGAAACAAAAAACAAGAAAAAACAAACAAACAAACAAGAAGGAAGATCTACAAACACCTTTAAAACCACAGCTGAAAGGTTAAATATTCTATTGATCAATTCAGGTGCTCTCTTGTGGTTTACTTGAATCACCAACTTACCACTTCCAGTTTATGAAATATCACAACTGACTTACTGCAACTTCATGGACAAACATTAATTGTGCTTAAACTGTCTCAATAAGATAGCCATACAAAGACCACAACATTTTTTGTTCAGTGTTCAATGCTTGACAGTTGCAGTATTATGGTAGCACAATTATGAAGACACAGTTTGTTTTTGTAAGTAGATCACATAAAAATATGTGAAGATCATGGCATGTACATTATATTATTACACAACTCGGGCAGTCAGAGGGCCAATAACTAAAATCAACCAATCAAAATGCTCTATTGCCGGTCAATATTCTGTCAGCATTTGACCGGACACTGTCCCAAATGGTCCCGAATGATACCACACCTGTGTCCCTTTGAACTTCAGTCGTATAATAAATCTCTTATTAACCAAGCTTGCTCGGGACCGTACTGGAAGAATATCGGCCCTCGGTCTTTTTTTGTACAGACCGAACGTAGTGAGGTCTGTACTGTCAAGACCTCAGGCCGATATTCTCCCAGTACAGCCCTCACGCTTGGTTAATAAGATACAAGTACTGCTGCGTATTATTTATGTACATCCTTACCATCTGTCCTTTTTTGGCCACTGGTCCTGTTCCTTTTGTAATGTCCTCAAACACAGTTCCTCCTAAAAAAATTTTCCTCTTTGCCTGCTTAAAATACATCACAAGATCCCAGAGTAATTATTTAAAAAAAAGTTAATTTTGCAAACTATTGTGTCATCCATATCAAGCAGAAAAATATTCCTAAAAAAAGATTATGCCAATGATTATCATTGGAACTATGCCAACATTAATAATACACTGACTACACAACACCAAACAAGACTGCCATCTTTTCAAAAAATTTTATTCATGATTACCTCTAAACCAAGGAAAACAAAAGTTTGCAGCCTTCCATGTTTCTTTTCACCTGCAATGACCCTAAAAAAATTACTTACAATGAAAAGACAGCTAATCAAAAATTTTCCATAATATCAGGCAAAAAAAAAGGGTTGTCACTAAGCACCTGTGCCTGTGAAATTCACTGAATGAAAAAGCAGTAAAAAAAGGCTAGATTTTTGGCCGGCAATTGCTTGGTAAACTACAATGGGCACTTCTAAGGTTACACACTTACAATCATTCCCCACCTTTGAGCCTCCTCACCTGAAATTTCTGCCAGCAGTGTAAATTCTTAGCTACAACCCTGAGAAATACTTACCGGTGTGGCTTGTGCTTGATCATTCTGTTTACCAGAACTCGGTTGTGTCACCTTTTCTTTATTCATTTGTGTTTCTTGTTTAACTTGAGTGTCAATGTTTTTTGTAGGTGAGCTAGTATCTAATGAAGTTTGCCCACTAAAAAAATCCTGAGTTTTTGTCTTTTCTATCTTGCCATCACTGTTTGGTGAATTTAATTGAGTTTTCTTGGCTTTTTTCTTGAGTTTTTTAGCTGATTTAAATCCATTTTCAATTGTTTGATTTTCTGTTTCACTCGTTTTCCTCTTTTTCTTGTTTCCATCTTTCTTTCTGAGTTCATTTTCAGATTGAGTGCTATTCTGCCCTCCAGTACTATCTTCATTTTCACCACTCGTACCATCATTTGACATAGTTACTTCAGCTTGTTCAACATCCATTAGAGATATAATATTGTTTAAAAAAAAATTCTCAGCCTGTTTTTTCTTCTTCTTTTTCTTGCTTGTTTTTTTTTTCTTTGGATTATCCTTCAACGGGTCCCAGTCCACATCTCCGCTCTCTTCATCCTCATCATCACTGCCATCACCAATCAAATCTCCACTTTGAAATAAGTCTCCAAGAGTCACTTCCTCACTGGATGATTCATCGTCCTCCTCTGCCGAATCAGAATTGCTTCCTTCCTCTGCAGACTCTTCAAATTCCAAAGTACTTGGTTCTTCCATTAAATAACCTATCCATGAAGTATTATCATTTAATGGAAAGCTTATTATTATTGGGTTCATGTTTGTGTAACATGCTACAGCGAGACCACAATTCAATGAAAATACAGGTGAGTTTTTAAAAACAAGTACATCATGTCAATATCTGTGATCTAATAGAATGGGAATAACAATTTATCAATAGCAATTGACATTCCATGAGGTGGCCCTTCTTGTCCACTGTTTCTGGATTGAATTGGAATTTGGAATGCTGTTTTTGGAGGTAGGAAAGCTGGAGGACCCAGAGAAAAACCTTCAGAGCAGGAGGAGAACCAACAATAAAACTCAACCAAAAAAAGACACCAGGTTGGGGAATCAAACCCAGGTCACAGCAGTTGGAGGCAAGCGTTAAAAAAACTACACCATCCCTGCTCCCTTGACAGAAAATAAAAGCACATGCTCTAGACAAAAAAAAATGGAAACTCACACAGTGTCACCAAGAACACAGTATAATGAATTTCTAATCCAAAAAAAAGCCAGCAAAATAAAAAGCAAAATAAAAAGCAAAATAAAAAGCAAAATAAAAAAAAAAAACCTTCTGCCTACATTTCGTATATGGTTATGTCTGCCTGTTTATTCCTCCTTGAAAAAAATTCAATAAAGAAATTCCAAAAAATGACTAATTACTCCATCATGATAGTGACCAAAAACAAGAAAACAGAACAAACCTGTTAGATGTACATCCCCAGGGCCTTCTGTAAAGAAAGTTATCTCTTCTCCTTCTGTAAAACAATAGTCTAAAGGCTGTTGTGGAATTTTTCCAAAAAAAAATGTGCACAGTACAAACTGAGCTTTATCTACCTCAACCATTACTGTGACTGGTACTGACGAAAAGTTCTGAAAGCCCAGAGCAGCCATTGATAAATGAAATGACTTTTCCACTGTCTGGGTGTAGCGGTTTCCAGAATCAAGAGTGACCCCTGAGAACAAAATAAGTATGGAAGTAAAAACTGTTCTTTTGACAGGTCCATGGTACACTCCAAGGAATAAAACCTTAACTGTTCTCTATGTCATAGTAGGGTCCAGGTACCACAGGCTACTAACAATTGTTGTAAAGAAACTTGCATAACTGCACTTTGATGAAAGCTATTATATATAAAATTATTCTTAGATCAGATAAGTAATTTACCCCATTGACTACCTGACATTTCCTTGTAAATTAGGTGTTAATTCAAGACAAGCCTTCGAACTGATAAGTTTGTCTGTTCTCCTAACCTCTTTGCAAGATAAAACATTGGACTCGTAAGAAGGAGCTACATTTAAATCACTCCAAGGGGCCGGGTTGAAGGTTTAACAGCTGGTACTGAATCGAGAGCCTTCCGGTCTCCAATGATTCTTCCAAGAGCACAGCTTTAGCAATCTCCTCAACTAAACTTTATCTAACATACAGTATGCTAGGTTTCACCTTGGGCAGTTTTTACACGTTTTCTCCAGCTCACAAATATGTTCCACGTGTTAAAGACCATAAGCTGTGCAAATACGGTTGAGCGCGCACTGGCCGTTCTAAAATGCCAATATTGAAGCAGCATTTGCTTTATACATGCCTTATATATATAAACCATTTATAGCTTCTTTATAAAATTTATAATTGTTGTAAATTAAAAGTGGATTTTTTTAAACGATTACTGTGTTTGTACTCAACCAAACAATTTATTCAACCCGATGCCGCGCGCAACTCTACATCTAGCTGATCAAATATTACAGTTTGGAGGAGTCGCTTTTCCACTCTTTAGATTTTGATCATATGGAAAAGGAACTAAAAAAGGAAAAAAATGGTATACTCACCCCAAAACATCGTGAACTACAAGACAGGGCCAGGGAAACCAAAAAAAGTTCTTGCAACTAGCGATACGAATCAGACGCCATTTTGAATTGATGAATGCGCTTGCGTAGTGAGCTAGTCATATCGAAAAGAAGTCTGGGTAGATGTCCTCTTTCAACCTTCCTCTTCGAAGGTGAGATTGACTTCAATATGTTGTTAAAATCTCAAATTATCTCCCCAAAAAAAATTTCAATTTTCGGTAGACTTCCGATGTTTGTAGTTTCAACATCAGTGCGTACTTCTGCCCAATAACATAAATGAAGTATTACTTTAAATGTAAAAAAATCGCGCTGATAGTGAATCTATTACTCCACAATAAATTATTTGCTAACTTTGGGAAACATGTCTAAGTATTCCTAGCATTTTTCGAAGATTATTTCGTTTTGTCTGAAGGACTGTGTGGTATCCGAGTGAAAAAAAAAAAGCTATGTATATAATTTCCCTTTGATTTCCTTGCATAATATGATAGACTTAAAACCATTATGTCGATGCACGATGTGTTTGCAGGTAAAGGTCACTCAAGATGACTCGTTAAAAAAAAGATCCGGAGAATCCAACCAAGTCTTGTAAAGCACGAGGCTCTAACCTCCGTGAAAAAAACAAGAACACACACGAGACGGCTGTGGCCATCAAGGGTATGCACATACGTAAGGCAAACAGATATCTCAAGGATGTTATTGCCAAGAAGCAGATCATTCCCTTCCGAAGATTCAATGGTGGCGTGGGACGTAAAGCTCAGGTATGATATGTATACCATGTCTCCCATAATAAAAAAAAACTTGTCATTTACGTGTACGATGTGTTTGAAATAACTTGGCTTTACTGAAGAACTTCCAAAGTCCACGATTCTTAAAATGCTCTCCCAAGTACCTTAACGCCACCATGAAGAAAAAAATTAGCCGCCAAGCTTACTATGGGTGGCCTCGGCTGATATGTTTCAGCCGATAGTTGGTGGATGGGTGGGCAATATATCTGCTGAAAGCCAGTCACTTTTCAAAAACAACGGCTGGTCCATAGTTGTCCATTGATTGGCTGATGATCAATAGTCAACTTGTGTCTTGATATAAAAAAATATCAGTATACTATTGGTAGAAGTAATAACTGACATATCAACCAAAGCTACCAATGTCATGCATGATCCTCTCTATTGGCTTTGTCTTCTGTAAATTAATAGTTGGAAACTAAAAAAATAAGAAGTTATTTCTCAATCTGCTATATGCTAGTGTTTAATTTGCAGTGACTAAAAAAATGGAGCCTTTCCCATCAGGTCTGCTGCCCTATTTATCATATAGAGTCCCAAATTTCAGTGTAGAACTGCTTAATAGAAAGGAGACTGATATTTCCCTCTATATAATCCTAGCACACCAGACTTTCTCTATACGTAACACTTCATGACTTGATTAGAGTGTAACTTCTCCTAAAAAAATAGCTACCTTATCTTGTGAACTGGTATTGGGAATCAAAAAACTTATCAGCAAAAAAAAACTAACTTACAAGAAAAAAAAAAAACGTATGCTAGTTTTAAAGGAGAATTACTAAAAAAATCTTGGGAGAGGTAATGATTGAGAAAATAAACTTACATTATTTACATTTCCAAAAAAAAAACTTCAATGCTCCAGGATCCCAGGGCCGCTGGCCAAAGAAAAGTGCAGAGAAAAAAAATCAGCTCCTCAAAAATGCTGAGAGCAATGCTGAATTTAAAGTGAGTTTTTTGGTTATTGGATGCCTCACTGTGAAATAGAAAAACACAAAGTTTTGTTGGTTGTTTCTTTGAAAAAAACATTCCTTTTGGTGAACAATCACCAGCTGAGTATATAAAAGCACATAAGAAAAAAAAAAAATATTTAATTTCTTGACTACTGGCTTACATGATGAACATCAACAGGACTTGAAAAAAATGGCCAGGAATTCTGGTGGCGGCCAAGTTCCTTTTCAATTGCCTTAGCAACCAGATGATGGAAATTTGGAACCCTAAATCTCTATGATTACATGAGTGATTCTACCAGTATAAAAAAAATTTAGCCCTGCACAGTCTTCCCTCATTGTCCTCTGTGTTTGTTTCTGTATCAAAAAAATGGATGTGGACTCGTTGGTGGTTGAGCACATTCAAGTCAATGCTGCTCCCAAGATGAGGAGGAGAACCTACAGAGCCCATGGACGTATCAATCGTAAGTCACTTTGTTTCTAAAAAAACATTTAAGCAATGGGGAGGGTATAGGCAGGCAATATTTCTCAAGTCTTCAGAATGTCACTTCAGCAAAAGGTTTGATTGCTTCAGCATCTTTGTGATACTGTAGTTAAGGATTGTCTTCTTAGGATTGTTTGTGATGACAGTAATTGACATTTCTCAGGCCTTGCCCAAAATCTCAGGCACAATTTCTACCCATGGATCTCTCATCTAGTAACTAATATTTATGTATCCAAAAAAATTGGAGTAGTAAGCTCCTATTTGTTTCACTCCCAAGATCTCAATAAAAATTCTCCTTACTGTCTGCCATACAGCTCTTAGAATGTTTTTTTTTGGGGGGGGAGAATTTGGAAAAAAAACAACTATCAATCTCCTAATTCACGTTTAATTCATTCATTATTTTCATCACTTGTGTGCTCGACATTGTAGTGATATTGTAACGAGAAATTCTGTCTTGGTCACTGATGGAAAAAAAAAAGATAAGCTATGGAAGTGATATGCTTGTAAAACTTAAACTAGTCTAACCTTGAAAAAAACAGCCTACATGAGCTCCCCATGCCACATAGAGATGATCCTAGCTGAACGCGAGCAAGTGGTTCCTCGTGGCGAGGATGAGGTCGAGGTTAAAAAGGTGTCCAAGAAGAAGATGGCACGTGAAAAGATGAAATCTAGGGAGTAAAGCCCTGTTTTGAGAGCTGTAAAATAAAATTTCAACCAGAAAAATGCGTGTCCTTGATGTCTCTTCTTTCTGGCTAGTCAATCATTCATCAAGATGGATTTGAGATCCTTTCATATCTTGTTTTGATTTCACCAGGGCCTAAGTCTACAGGCTTTTAATTGTTTCTTGGATCTAGCCACTCTTTGAAGAGAGAGACAGCAAACGGAAAGTGTAAAAGTCCTTTTACCGAAACAACGAAGCCTCTGCCGAGTTCTCTATTCTTGATTAGTTATCAGTCCAAGTTTTATGCACACTTCCTCTTGTTTTCGGGACCACTTTTTTTCTCGCCTGTATCCGAAGACAACTTACTATCCTTTACACCGACTCTACATGTATCCAGTTTTCTGACAGTTTCGCTTATAGTTCGCTTCCATTTCTGTTTAGTTTGGGGTCAGTTCGCCAAAAAAATGGGCTAGTTCGCCAAAGTCGCAAGTCTGTTTACTGACGTTTCATGTCAGTTCACTAACTCCCTTGGTCAGCTCCCTAGCGTAATTGGTTTATCCGCCAATATCCTTAATCAAAAAAAAGCAGTTCACCAGCGTTACAGGTGGGTTCGATTTAGTCTTAAATTTGCAGTTAAAAAAAGATAATTTGAATTGGACGCCGTAAAGGGTCTCTAAAGCCGACATTTCAAGCGTGAGCCCTTCGTAATTTCGCTCTGACGAAATGATGGCAAATTCACATGATGAACTCAGTAAAAAAAACCAAATTATCTTGTGATACCCCACACCAGCGCACTACCACTGTATTTGAACTTGCGCTCTTCATTGGTCAGTTCGTTTAGGTTACTTAGTCAATACTGCACTTGGACTTCAAAAAAAATTCGCTGACGTCTTAGGCCCTGTTTACAAGCAGGTAGGGTAACCCTAGTGCAAAAAAAACCCTGGCAGGAGGGTTACCCTAACGCTCCCACATTTCTTCTTTTTTTCATCAAAAAAATTACAAGGCAGCTAGGGTTACCCTAGCACTAGGGTTACCCTAGCTGCCTTGTAAAAAAACTGCTGGGGATAACTCGCCTACCCTGGACAACTTTTTACTTGTTTCCAGACCAAAAAAACATTGATAACAATGCGTGCGGTTACCATAAATAGGTACGTTGTCCCGGGTGGTAGGGTAACCCTGCCTGTGAAATTTTGCTTGTAAACCCGGGCTATCTTTGACCCTCCTGAAAAAAAAACTCTAGCACAAGGGTTACCCTCCTTGCTTGTAAACAGGGCCTTAGGTCAGGGTTGTGTTGTTTAGCGTACCAGAAATGTTTGTGCCCTAAGGTGTTGGCAAAAACATATAAAAAAAGGTCTCAAGGTACCGTCGTAGTTCCTTTACCAGGAGTAGTCGGCACTTGACTAAAAAAAAGTGAAGCACGCGCGAGGGAAAGACAGAGGTCATTAGTTCGCTCACTCGCGCGTTTTTTCTTTTCTTGCTACCACCGCTTTTGTTTTGTTTCCACGCAGAGAGAGTGCGACAAAAAAAGAGATTGGAAACGGCTGTGAAGGATGTAATCGGGCTCCTTTTCAATTTGTAAAAAAAAATTTTACGAAAAAAAGGTACTTGAAAATTACTTTGAAAGGTCAAACGTGATCTAAAAAAACGTGTATCTCACGAGAGGCCAGACTTGACCCAGACGACACAGACCCTCCTCAAGGGGTCCATATTCTTCCCTGCCCCCGTAGGGTTCGCATTTTTGCATGAGTTCGATCAAAAAAAAAAGGAATGTTTCATTTTGCGATATCTGCTGTAGAGTGATAATTTCCAAAGGTTGAAAGCTCGGATTGCTTGGAAGAATAATGTTGTATCCTTTAAACAGAAAACTGAAACATGCCAATATAAACAGAAAGACATTTTCATAAGGGATGAGTGGTACGTGGGCATGACGTCAAAAAAAAGTAATTCAACTGTATTTAACTTAGAAAAGACAGTACAAACAGAAACAAAGGAAAAAAAAAGAAACGTTGAATCCTTACGGTTGGAAAGAAAACATTTCGCCTTAAAGCATGAAAAAAATCAGAGAATTTCTGGTGTGAATTTTAAAGATGAAAAGTTTAGTGACCTAGATAAAAAAAAAACGAGCTCAAACCTATTGTGATTCGGTTGCGAAGACGGGAAAAATTGGAGGAATGTCTACTACAGAAAAACATCAAGGACCATTTTACTAGTGGTTTAACACTGAATACAAAAAAAGAAGGTAAGATTTCTTCTTCAGATGCTTTTTCTCCGCGATCAAAGAAGGTTTCCGCGGCCGAAGATACGCTTCGAAACGGAGACGTGGATGGAGAAGGCGACACTAAATCGTTCGAATTTGATGAGTGCTCAGGAGATTTTGGAGTCGTGCTCGAAAACAAAGATCCTAGCAGCCCAAGCTGTGCAAGAAGTGCCTTGGGAAATATTCGAATCGCCGATTTATTGCCGGAAAAAAAAGCAAAACGGGATGGATTGTTGGAAGTTGGAGATAGAGTAATGGAAATAAATGGCCGCGATTTATCCAAAGCAAGCCTGGAGCGAGCAAGGTAAAACTCGTAGGCTTCATCAAAGTTTATTAAAAAACCGCAACAGGTACTATTTTTGTATGGCGAAGAATAAATGAATTAAAAAAATCATAGTCAAGCTTCTTTACAAAACTGTTGTATCATCTACAACCATTTCTCCCTTGAGTGTACTATTATAATCTGAAACGAACGATTTAGGACCTTAACGCTATATCTGAGTGCAATCTTGTGAACTGTTCGGCACTAAATCATTTATTCATTGAACTTAAACGCTGGAAGATTTGTACCACTGGTGGTGTAGAGGATGTTTGTCTGTTGTTTTGAAATAGGGATCGTTTTAGCGCCATTTATTTGAGTTGTATTGGCTCACATTGTGTGTGACCTTTTGTTTACGTTTAATATCGCTACCTGTGCATGCACAGCTGTGTGAGGTTTTTTGTACTCGACATTCTTGTCTCAGCATTAATATTTGCGTTCGACGCCTGATAAGAATTAGACTACAAAGAGGGCGATTAATTAATAATATCAAATTTCTATCCAAATTCTAGCATGAAACACTTATTTTCAGAAGAGAACTCGCCGAAATAGTATTGCCAGAATTAAATTATATATTTTTTAATCTCAATTGTTACGTATTTCATTTGCTATTCACAAACAATATTTTATAACGTCTTGGTTTTGAGATGAACTGATATTTAATGTGTAAACGCGAATTAATATTAATTGGAGTGATTTGTTTTAGATGGTACTTAGGGAGTGCCTTGAGGAGTGGAAAATTAAAAATAAAAGTTCTCCGTGGTCCTGGTGGGAGCAACATCACACCTGTGAAGAATGGTGTTATTCCAAGACATGAAAACACTTCTGAGAAAAAAAAATCTGTAAGTTTAATCAAACAAATTTTTAATTTGACTTTTACACGTCTGGCCCAAAAAAAAGTAGGGTAGAAGAGTATTTTCTTTCCATTATTGTCATGGTTTGGTTAAAAAAAAAAAATATCTAAGATTGCACTTTGAAATGCAAAAGTCAATTTTAACAGGATTAAAATAAAAAAATTTTTACTCTAAAAAATTTCACATTCTTTTGCAGATATAGTGTTAAAATAAATAACCATTTATCACCTGTAATTGACAGATTGATGAAAATGTTATAGGCCATTTCTAGTAGAGAATTTTAATTATTTTAATCAGATGTTTGTGATATGTTCTTGCAATTTCATAAGTTTCCCAACTGTAAATCTGACAGAAGTGATAACTTATTGAACAAGTAGTCTGGTCATCCCCGTTGAGAAGTCCGTAGAAGGACTGTTGTGGGCAACAGTGACTGATATTTTGACCTCATTACCTACAGTAGTGGAGCCCTTTGATCTCTAGTCTAATCTCATGGGTGAGCAGACTACACCATCAACTTTTACTCCTGTTTTCAAACCGTGCATTTACTGAAAAAGGGCTAGCTTCAAACATGTACTGTTAGTAATAAGTATCCCAGCCTATGTTATTACTTATCGTGACTGAATGCTGGAACTAATGGAACTTGCAACAGACTAATGTCTCTTTGGGGAGAAATATTTTGTAAATATGGTCTTAGTATTTTATATAAAGAAAATTTGAAGATTGGCTGATCAGTTGTGGACGTGCATATTGGAGACCAAGTGTAGCCCTACTATATTCACAGAATTCAACTTTTACTCATTGTAACTTATCAATACACTCAGTTTGTAACTGGTGCTTATGTGGGAAAATAAATGAAATTCTAAGCAATAACAGATGCAACAGCACCGTAGTAAATGATAGGAAATCCTTTCATGAATAAGTTAAAAAAATGCATAATTTATGATGTAAAAACAGACATGTCTTGCTACCTAAGGTATGGCCTACACTGTGTACAAAGATATTAAATGACCTTAATAAAATTAATGAAAATTAGATACGTCAACAGACTTAAAACTATTTTTTATTGACTATAGTGTCATGTTAGAAAATGATAGGAAATAATAAAAACAATGAACTTTAAAATTTTATTTTCATGTAATTAAATATATTGTTTTGATGCTTTGCATATTTTGAGAATTGTCCACCTGATATTTCATCACAGAAAAACAGAGTGAAGAAGATACATATTTTAAAGGATAGCCGTGGACTTGGAGTACAAATATCAATGAAACTCAACCATGAAACAGGAGAGAAGGGTGTGTTTGTGTCTGATGTGAGCCCTGGTGGGGCTGCTGCAAGGTGCGGTATTTCACATGTATTGATTAATGTAACAGCATTGTTTTACAGTTATGCCAGGTCAAATGTTCAAATATATTCTTTCACTCAATGAACCATATACAGCTTTTTTAATAATTCACAATCAATAATGACATGTGAAACTGAAGAGGTAGAGTTTCTGTTACTACTACATCAAAAAAAAAAAAATCATAATTTTTTTTCATGAGAAACCTTCAATTGACATTGTAATATCAAAATTAAGTACCACAATTTGAGCTTGTTGTGTAAAACATTGAAGAAAGACTCACAAGGTATGATACATTCACAGGAATACAGATTTTTAAATTTGGTTGCAGCAACTACTTACAAATAGATTCATTATTCAAAGAGTTAATTCCTAAGTATACAATCCTGACCTTGTCTTGGTTCAAGTTTAAATTCAAGACTTTTTGTGCATATTAGAAAATCAGTGTTACACAGTCAGTATAGATAAAGTAACAGTGATGGAATTCTACAGGTGCAAATTATTTCAAATTGTGACTGTGACATAAAAAATCAATGACAGCCAAGACACAAAACTCAATATCTAAAAACAAATTCAATATTGAAAAAAAATTATAATAATAATGATATTTAATACTTATTTTGCGCTTTTTCTACAAAAATAAAAAAAAGCGCAAATAACCCAATATCCTGTTTTAAGATAAAATTACTAACCATGCTGATAAAAAAAGATTTAACCCTAAAGAATAAACCTTCCATTATTTGTAATTTATGCATTGATTCTTTTAGTAAAAAAATTAATATAATTTTAGTTGAACAGTAGATTGAAATAGATGTTAAGAAAAAAATTTGGATTAAATTTATTAAATGAATTATAGCTGCCTGGGATGCATTTGGGTCATACAAACTGTTAAAACTATATATTATTGCTATACTATGAATCTAAATGCACTTTTTGATATATGCATTATCTTCCAGCTTAAAATGAATTTGGGTCAAAAATATTTGTAACTAGTTAAGTTTGCATGTTTTTTATACCAGTATTTCCACCCACATTATTAATTACTAACAATTCTTAAAGGGAGAAAACTGGAATTTCATTTTACCTACATATATCCAAGTAAATGTTTATCGGTAACTTTCAATAACTATTACTTATAACAAATTAACTTTAAATTGAAATTTTGTTTTCTTTAAAAAAATTTAGGGATGGTCGCCTTAAGGAGGGTGATGAGCTGTTATGGATCAATGGCCACAGCTTGATAGGCGTCACACAACAGGAGGCAGTTGACTTACTTAGAGCATCACCAAGGCTTATACAACTGGTCATTTCAACACAGGTAACAAACAGTTTTCTCATGAATAATTCCTTGGCAGATAGACTCTATATTATTAAGTATTTTGCTGTCAGTACTTTATACTACAATCTAAAAAAAAAAAATCTTAATCACAAGTATGGAAGTTTTATTTGTTTTATTTTTTTCACAAAGGTAAGCCAGTCTGTGTTGGAAAAGGTGACAGCATCAAGGTTTAAAAAAAGGTCTTTGGAAAAAAAAGCAGGAAGAACTGGAACACAGATTTCAAAAACCCTTCCTCGAGCGCAGTCTGCAGAGAGTTTGATGAAGAAAGGTAGAAAAATGTCCTCTGATCATATTGAAAAGGAGAACAAAGCAGCTGATAAAAATTTTGGAAAAGGGACCACAAAGTCATTTGAGAATCTTTTACAACAATCAATGGAAAATGATCTTTTGCAAAGAGCTGAAGAATTGAATTCAGGAAAGAATATTAATCAAATTGATGCAACAGACTCGCAAGATAAGTCACATCATGAAGGAAATTATGTCAAAAAAAATGGAAATGAACAAAAGTTGACTAATGGCAGAAGCTGCTCCTCCTCATCTGATGGTTCCAATGAACTAGGAAAGTCAAACACAAAAGATGTCTTACTTTCAAAAGGAGAAGAAAGTTTAGAAAGTGAACCTGTTACTTTGGAGGATAAACCACTTTCCAAAGGGTCTTCCAAAAAATCTTCACCAGGAAAGCTACCATCCCCATCCCCACCAATTATAGATGCTTCAAAGAAGAGAAACTCACCAAACCTTTTCTTGAATAATTCACCCCCTAAAGAGAAACCTACAAAAAGTGAAATGAGTCTAGAACCTGGTCAAATCTCACCTTCCCTGCCAAGACCTCAGTCTCCAGGAGGTATGGGAATCGCTTTTTCTGCACGATATCTGGGGGATCCCCCCGCCAACATAATGACTAAAGCTTTGCCAACACCCCAAAATCTTGTGGGGAGTAATGAACGGGACTCGCAAAAAAAAAAGAGAAAGGGAAGCAACGACAGCACACAAAGAAGAATCAGTAAAGCAATGGAAGAGGAAATTGTTACCATTGTTCTGGTAAAGGGAATGAGTGGAAAAGGTCTCGGGTTTACTATTGTTGGAGGAAAAGGCTCACCTCAGGGCGACATGCCTGTATACATAGGGAATAAAAAAAATGGTGGAGCAGCAGAAGCAGATGGAAGAATGAGAAAAGGTTACTTGTTATTTAAAAAAAAAGTGCAAATGAAGGATATTAGATGTTAAAGTAATTTTTTTAATTCTTGCCAAAAAAAATGTGAAGGTCGATTTAATGTTAAATTTCTAAATTTGTTTACACTAGTCTGCCCTCCAAATTCATCTTCTTTGTTCTTTGCAATCAAATTGTAGGTGATGAGGTATTATCAGTGAATGGAACATCTTTTGAAGGTTTCACTCATCAGAAAGCCTTGGACACCTTTAAGGTAAAGGATGAATAATGGTCAGAGTTGAGAACTTTTGAAGGTGAAAAGAGGTGAATTTTTTTAAAAAAAAGTAGCAACCAAAATGGAATTTTTCTCCTTGCGATATCAACATATTTACAAGAAAAAAATGTTAGGTAACTTTTTTAGAGCTACACATATGAAAAAGGTTTCATAAACAATAAAAAAAATTGATATATAGTTCGTAGTAGTGGAATCCCTTAGGAAATTGCATTCAAATAAAAAAAATCCGAATTACCCTTGGCATCATTTTCAAAACGAGTCCTGGTGCTCATCCATTAAAAAAATTAGAAGTTTCCATTCACATGCAAATTAAACTCATTTTTACAAGAATGGTTAAGCACCAGGCCTCGTTTTGAAAAAGAGGCCAAGGGTAATTTGGAAATGGGCTATTCATAAACTCATTTTTTGAATATATTGATTGGTATGTTTCATTGTGACTGCTTTCAGCTTGAGTTGAGTGAATACTCAAAATATAAGTCAGACAGATTTTATATTGATCTTAATAAATTGTATAAAAAAAAAATAATCATTAATTGTTTTCTATATCTAGTAATTATTAATAGCAACAGCAAAAGGTAAGTAGTGCAGGCAGTTCTCACTGTCATGTTCATGAATCTCACAAAGAATTGTAAAAAAAATTTTTTTTATGTGTTCAGGTTAATCATTGATCTAAAAGTTTGAATTGGATGGTTCTGTTAAAGAGAGATGATTCATCTGACTTTGGGAAAATTTGGAGAATTCTTTCTTAACATTCAATAAACAAAATACTGTCTTAAGAGTTTTGTTTTTGTTATCCACAAATGTTATAAAAAAATCTTTAACTTTCAAACATTTTTATGAGTTTCTGAAGAAGACTTTATTGAGTTAAAAAAATCCAAATGAATTTAACTTAGTTTTAATCAAATTTTTCAATTACTGAAATTTTAGTTTAAGTTTATCATTTGCTTAATTAGTCATCCAAACTATTAACAAAAGCCATTTTTGGCAATTTTTTCTGGCTAGTCAAGAATAAGTATTGAAAGAGGTTATTTTTTCTCTAAGAAAAAAAAAACTTAAAACGTTGATGGAAAGAAGTGGAGAATCCAAAAACTTGATGTTGATTAAAAAAACCAAGTCAACCCTATTTACATGTCAGAGAAACTCAGATTATTATGATAATCACTTACTGATGAAATGATGAATTTGATTTGATATTCTTTTTCTTGTGTTTGGGGATAAATAAAAAAAAAAATTGCTGGCTATTGTTCCCAATGTCAACAAAATGAAGTCATTTGTTTGTTCCTGGGGGAAAAAACAAATTCTCCATGGCTTAATTGAAAACATTGCTATAATGGGTAATGTGTGAAACTGCCTCTCTAATTAAAATAGAAACTTTAACAAAGTAATTGTGGAGATCTGGGGTTTTGAGCACTGCTAAAATATTTGACAAATCACATTTTCTTTATATTCAACTACAAAAAAAATCTTTCTGGCTGTGGGCTTTCAATCACTTCTATTTATGATTAAATATTAAACAAGTACAACATTCACCTGCCCCAGGTTATTGATCAAGTGATTTATCAAAGTAAACAAAAGAGTATTATTGCTGACACAGATTGAAAACAGAGGAAAACTTTATCAATTCATACAGGGTCGCAGTTCAAAATCTTAATTGTTGAGAATTTATGGCAAAATATACATTTTTTTGCACCTTTATTTTGACTTTCAGTCGGCAGTTCATAATCAAATTGTAGGAGAATAAAGTAGTTCCTAAAAAAAGCTTATCAATCTATTGTGCTATCCATTGCTGAAGTTTACTCACCAGGTGAAACTTATACAATATTCTTTGCTGTAGTAAATACTATCCTTGGGTTGTAGAATCTTCGCAGAGGAATTGTAACTTTGAAAGTGCACAGAAACAGTCCTGGAGCTCCAAGTTTATCAACATTTACAACACCCAGAAATTCACCAGGAAGTTTGCGTCGGAACAGCAGAGGTGTGACAGCGGACTCAACCAGCTCCAGCAATTCGTCTTCTCCAATAATGTTTCGAAAGCTGCGTCCGAAAAAAAAAAAGAAAGAGAAAATCAATGAAATAGTTCTTTATAAAGGTTTGTTTTGAATTTGAAAAAAAGTTTGCATATCCTTTAGTTCTAGTAAATTTAAAATTTTTCAGGAGATTAGTTAAAAAAACATAAAATATTTGTTATTGTATTTTATTTCACCAACACTTTCAACAGGAGCAAAAAAAAAGACCTTTAATTAATGATGATTTTTTAAAAAAAAAAAAATTAAGAACTAGTCAAAAAAATAAGCACTTTTAAGTTTGATTTCATGTTTGATAATTTCTCTAAAGGATTTTAGTCAAAATAATCAGTGTCAAGAGTTAAATGAGTAATTATATAGGTAAGGCATGGATGGTTTTCTGCATCAAAATATTATAAATAGTTATGAAAGAACAAACGTTTATGTCCCTGTCTCAAATCTTGCACTAATGATTAGTTCATATATTTCTTGTTAAAGAAATAATTCAGAAGGAAAAAAAAACCTTCAAAGGGGTAATTTATAGAATTTTTTTTCTCAGTTTATTGTAATAAAAAAAAAAAAGAACAAGGTCAAGGCATTGTCTAATGTATATAATGACTGAGTTAACCATTAAAAAAAAATAAGTGACTAACATGTAAATTCTCCCCATAAAATCAATACATCATCCACCAAACAAGTAATGAGAGTGCTCAAACTTATCAGGTAGAAGTTGTTATAAATCTTGATCTGACACCAAATTCTTGTGACTACTTTACAAGGAAATGTATAGCAGTCAGAGCGGAGAATTAAAAAAAAAATCTTGGGAGTTTAAGCAGGGTTCAATGCTAATGGTAGCCCACTAGCCACAGACCAGCAGTAATTCAGTTTTGGCTGGTGGTTTTTGATTTCCACTTGTCAGTTTGGCTAGAAAAAAAATTGAAATTGTCGTAACATCTAAGATGTCACTTGCCACTTGGCTAGTAAGTTGAAGAGTTAGTATCGAGCCCTGTTAAGGGTTAAATGTAAGCTCAGAAAGTACTTTCAATAAAAAAAATCACCAGAATGTGACAGAAAGAGTGTTATCATTAGGCAACCAGGACTAGAGAAAAAAAGGGTAAATTGTGATGGTCTGAGCTATTTTTTATTCAGTTTTTGAAGAGATTTCCCTGTGTTCTATTTTTGATTCTTGAAGTAAACTTGTTTCACCCTAATATTATCAGCCAAACAGTAGCCATACTACTTTGAACCAGTGGCCAATACATGTAACTTGTTTATTGCCCATAAAAAAAGGTTCATATAGTTGTTTAAAGGCTTGTGAAAAAATTATCTAGGGTCTTGCTCAAAAAAAAAAAAATTAATTTGTTCATGCTTTTAGAACCTGGGAGCAGCTTAGGAATTGGTCTAGGAGAGCAACATCCATCAAATCAGCTACCTGGAATCTTTGTTCAGTGTGTTATTCAAGGAACACCAGCAGACAATGATGGGAGATTAAGGTGAATTATATTTTTTTATTGCACCCTCCACTGACAAAAGCACAACATAAATAGACAACAAAATTTGCTGTCAGCCTTTCATTTTCAACATCTTACACTTAACGTCATCTTAAGCCCTTTAACTCCCATGAATGACCAAGAAAGAATTTCTCCTTACAACATCAAGCAGACAAGTGATGAAAGTAAAGAATAGGATTGAAAGAAAAAAAAAGCAAACACTTCAATGAAAGTGAATGGTTACATAAACCATCAGATTCCTTTAAAAAAATTTTTTTTTTCTAGGTTTTTGGGATCTTACCATGCAAACAGTTTAACAGCATAAAAAAAATTTTGAACTTACTGACGTGTAAAACCTTCCTACTCATTTATTCAGCCACAGAAAAAAAACAGACACAGCACTTTCATTTTCAAATTTGATTTTGCTGTTTATCATAACCAAAAAAAACTCCAGAAGGCAAACTGGCTGGTATTTTCACAAGCTACTTTTTATGTAAAGTGCCAGCTACTTTAATCAAACAAAATTATTAAATACTTGTCTTGAAATGAAATAAATGTTCACCTTTGCTGGTTACTGTTTTTTGCCTATGGCAAGCTAAACTGCGGAGAAAAGAGTAAAAAAAAACCTTCATTAACAATATCCTTACGATGTTGACATGCAATAAATTTTGATGCTCAAAAAAAAAAGGTTTTCTCAATTTTTCTTCTTTTTTGTTTTGTTTTGTTTTGTTTTATTAAAAAAAAAGGTGATCAACTCCTTGAAATTAATGACAAGAAACTGGAAGGACTGTCAGTTGAAAACATCTACAACATTCTAGATAAAACTCCTCCAGGAAAAGTATATATTAAAGTTGAAAAAAACAATGCATCTGACAAGTTACCCCTACAACTTAATGATGAACTCACTAAGCTTCAAAGTGAGCGTCAATTACTGGATAAAAAGATGTCAGGGAAATCAAAGAATTCGGGAACTGCATCAACACTCTCTGGTGCATCAGAAAGCTCTGAGTCTTGTGGTGAGTGGTTTTAACAAAAAAATGCCAAGAGTGACTAGCATCTAATTTCTCCTGACAATGTCACCCCTGAATCAAAAAAAAAGGTCAGGAGAATATAGGAAATGATCATCAACTATTAAGCAGCTCTTTACTGTAAAACATGTTTACCCTGTCAGGACATTAAAACATGCAAAGAGAACAGTATAAAGAATAAAAAAAACATACTTATAATAGAGCAGGGTTTGACACTACCAGTAGCCAACTAGCCACAGAAAAAAAGAAATTCAGTTTTAACTAGTGGTTTTTTATTTCCACCAGCTACTTTGACCAGAAAAAAAATTGAAATTGTTGTAACATCTAAGTTGTCGCACTATTAGCCATTTAACTAGTAAAAAAAAAAGTTAATGTTGAGCCCTGATAGAGTGTAGAGGTTTAAAGGTAGATGATGGAAAAAAAGGCAATTTAATAAGCCTTGATCAACTGTTAGCTCCAAATGTACAATAGCCTGAAAAAAATCTGAGTGTCAATAAAGTAAAACCAAGCCAATCACAACTCAAAAAGAAAGAAAAAAAAAAAAGAGCCAGTGAGAACTCAAAGGGTAAACAAGCAAATTGCCTGAAGGACTAAAAAAAACAAAATACTGCGATCTAACCTCTGTAGAATGTCTACTTTTAAAGGTTATCCAAGGTACTACACTTTTGAGTAACTGTTGGAGTCTTGCCACTACTCACAAATATGCAGGGGAAAAAAATCAGAAGATGGTACTCTTTGTGGATGAAAACATCTGTAACTGATCGCCGTGCAAAAAAATGTCATGTCAAGGTTATCCGCAGGCCTTAATTTCCTTTTTCTTTTTTTAATAAAAAAAAGACAATTTGACAAGTCTTTCTTCTTCTTGTGATCTCCTCATTCCACTCTCCAAAAAAAAAAAAAAGAAAAAGAAGGTAAATATGATGATCAGTTGTCCCTAATTGGTCTAGAAAAAAAAGTTGTCCCTAATTGGTCATTATGAAGTTTGTCTTACGAGTGACTTTTTAGTTTTCAGGGACAGAAATAATTCACAATACATAACAATACAAAGCCTGAAATGAATGTGAAAATTTATTATTGAAACATAGCTTTTCAGTTTAATACTTCTGTTTCATTTTTCTTTTAGTAAAAAAAAGTTCAAGAGTCAGATGATGATGTTTTCACTTATGAACCTGGTAAGACCTATTTTGAAGAAACCTGAAGTATTCATCTCAAAAAAGGAAACGACTGAGGCAACGACGTGTTGAAACAAAGATGTCACATTTGAGGTTGATATCTTTTTGTGATAAGACTAGCAGCATGTGAAAAAAAAGGTCAAAAAAGAGAAAGAAGGGATACTCAATTTGAGTGCCAAGTGTGATCGAAAAAAACAAAACTACTGCCAACCACATAGGTCGTAAGACCAGTTGTAAAGGATTAATTTTTTAATTGTTGAGTATAAGAACTTTTTTCTGACCATGTTTTGCTTATTCTTTACTAAAAAAAATTCTGCCGAATTTCTGGAAGACATCTACACAATTATAAAGCAACCATCCGGTAAAAAAAACCATAAGATAGACTTTTAAATAGAAAGCCTCATCGAAAACTCCGCGGATTAAAAAAAAAGCTCACCGCTGCGTTTTTTTTCTTGGTAGTTGGACTGGGAATGGGTGTCACAGTCGACAAGTCTCGTGGGAACACCATAGCTGAGGGTGTGTCAGTTAAAAGTATAACTGAAGGAGGATCTGCTGCTTTGGCAAGAAGTCCAAGGGGAGTGGGGCTAAAACTCGGTGAGAAAAAAATTTTTATTAATGACTTCCATAACACACTTAGAGAACTATCTTCATTCAACTTCCCAGCATGAAATTCTGTGGCTGTTACGATAAGTGAAGATTCTTTGGTATGTAAAATTAAAAAAAAAAGGCTACTACTTTCGGTAGGATGTGTCCCTTGTATAGAGGACTTGAACACAGATTAAGGTGAACTTTAATGGATGTGTCCAACTTAACTTTTAGATGAAGACATGTACGATAATCCGAAACAGATTTTAGAAGTAATTTGATTTTATCTACTGATTTGATGATCTCATTAAAAAAATGTAAAAAGTACCTAAAGATGACATTTCGAGCATAAGTAAACGAGTTTTCTGAAAAAAAAAATTTCTTTTTAACCAGGAGATCAAATTATCGCAGTCAATGGCACCCACCTCAGAGGAATGGACCAAGAAGATGTGATCAAGATCTTCAGAGATCTGCCAAGTTCAACGCAAAAAAAAATTAGAAGGTCTAAGTTGACTTCCCAGGGATTGGACTCTACTCAAAGAGCAAACAAGAAAACTGAGCCAGCAAAGAAATCTGTCCCACAACACCCTACGCCCCTTCCCAAACCTCCGGGGAGTAAGCGAAGGTCGAGTCTTAGGGGAAAGGTAAAACCTGGTACACAGGAAGAGAGGTTCCTGTCATCTGACAAAACAGATGAGGTGCCATCCTCCGAGTGTGTCAAAAAAAAAAAAGAAAGTGATGCTCCACGTACAGAATATGTTGCAGAGAAAAAAGACCATAATGGAATTATAGTTCCACGGAACACTGACGAACAAGAGAGGAGCACAAAGAATGAAGAAGAATTGCGAAGTGCATCAAAATCACGATTTAAAGAACAGATTAAACCAGTCACAGATGTCATAAGCACAGACAAACACTCAACAAATAAGAATTCGGAGAAAGTTAAGGACGAATTGGGGGACAATTTGATGATTCCATTTGGCTACAGGAAAATGGAAATAAGCATTAAGAAGGGAGCTAACTCCACGCTTGGTCTTTCTTTGGTCCCAAGCTATGGGAACCTTAAGGGATACTTCCAGGTAATAGCAATGGAACTGGAATCAGTGTACATGATTCAGTTTGAATTGGGAAGACAGGTGGCACTTATTATGCTTCTTACTCTCACTGCCCATGTTCAATCAGAAAAACTCAGCAGCTTAATTGATGTTTTAAGCCTTTAGTAGAATCGCTTTTCTCCGTGGATCCTGCCCCATAAAAAAAGTGTGTCCATGACTTAAAAAAAGCACCAAATGGGCATGATTTTATTAGCTATTAGCTTCGAATTCGAGTTTTTGAAGCTATAAAAATGTAGTGGTTGAAAGGAATCGAGTGCGAAGAGTATCCCGAAAATAGCTAACCTCCCAGTCAGATGAGTGTATCCCCCGTGAATTAACTGATCGGTATTTAAGGTGTTTTGACCTTTTTACAGATTCGCAGACTACAGTCTGGTATGGTGTGTGCTCAAGATGGACAACTTCAAACTGGCGATAAACTTGTGTCAGTTAATGGCGCATCCTTGAAGGGTGTCACTCACTCGATGGCATTGCAGTTGCTCAAGAAACCAACAGAAGTTGTCACGTTTGTGATTTTACGGGAAGGAGTAGATCGTCAGGAGAAAATATCAAGTAAAAAAAGTGAATCCAAGTCTGATTTATCATCTGGTCAAGATACTACTGTCGTTCAAGAATGCGGAGTCCACGGTGAGCCATCATCGTCGTTAAAGGGAGAAGAGGCAAAAACGTTGCCGTGTGCGGAAAAAGCTGTATCTCTTGGCGCGTCTCAGCAAAGCAGGGAATCGGAAAAATTAGGTAGAAGTGATGACTCTTATTTAGGAAGTGATGAAGATGTAAACGTTGAAGAGGATGTTCCAGAACTGCCATCTTCACCTCCGCCCCCACCATTACTGGATGTAGACGATTTTTTAGAAAGCGATCTGTCTGTAGCTCCTCCATCATTTTCTCCCCCTCCTTCACCAGTTCCAAAAAAAATTGACTATGACTTGTCTTTATCACCCATTCCCGTTGTTTCTCCACCGCCCGACCTTAGTCCAAGAATGAAGGAATTCCTTGAGCAAGACCCTTTCAGAACTGATCATCATGAAAGCAACAGAATCAAGTCCATTGAAGTCAACGAGATCTCACCGGAATCTAGTTCTAGCAAAAAAAAAGCTTGTTCTCCTGGCAAAGGAACAGGTACGAGTTGGGATTTTCAGTCTTTGCTTGATGCTTGCAACGATTTGAATTCAGACGAAAAGGATGATGAGTTTACATCTGAACGAACAACTAGCGCGGAGGCAACTTCGTTGTCAGGCAATTGCAAACCCGGTTTGCCATCGAAAAAAATGAAAACAAAGGACACTCATTCAGAGAAATTATTGGAGACGAGCACGGGATCAAAAAAAGAGGGAAGTGGCTACGAGAAGCGTCTACAAGACCTGGATTTAGAAATATTTTCAGCAAAACCTGAATTTGGAGTTTGTAAAGGTCCTCCATCCTCGGTTAAAGGTCACCACACAAAGAACATCACAACACCAAATACAACTGAACACAAAATAGGCGTTGACGTGAAACCAAAAAAAGGTAGAAGAGTAGAGAATGTTCCATTTGCTATTACCTATCAGAGAAAGTTTAGAAACCTTGGCTTTAAAGTGGACCTAACAAGGGAGAGGAAGGTCATTGTGTCAGATGTTAAAAAAATTGGCTTAGTGGGAAAAGATGGGAATATCAGGTATGAATAATGCGAAACCGAAGAAATGGATGAAATCACTATTTATCATTACTTGTTTTGTTTCACGTGGCGCATTTTTTAAAAAAATGCTTTTTTTTTTCTGCCTAATTAAGCGAATTAAGGTAAATCCCTTTACTTGAAAAAAATAGGTGAAAATGGTTTGTTCATGCTCTAGGTTGAAATAGGAAGCTTTAGGATAAAAAAAAACCAAGATTTTTCCGAAATTCACCCCTGCTTTCTATTATATACCAGCGCGTGTAAGTAACGAAAGCATCCTGTGTCCTCTGCATTTCAGGGTTGGAGATGTTCTTTTGTCGATTAACGACTCCTCCCTAGAAGGAATGGCCCTTAAAGATGTCCAAAATATGGTCAAGAACTGCCCAAGGGGAGATGTAAGAATTGTGGCCCAAGCCGGACCTAAACCACCGAAGCCGACCGAATACCTTGACGAAACAGTCTCATTTCAGAAGAAAAAGGGACAACTTGAAGAGATACCTGACCTAATCAGCCCAGCAGACCGGGAAGCTCAACCGAGTGTTTTTCCTAGTGTGGCAGCCCAAACACCTTGGGTGGACATCCCCAATGAGCTTATCTCTCTGAAAACAGCAGAAACTTCTGGTGGAACAGTTTCAAACTTACTTTCATCAAACATTATACCAGATTCAGAAGAAAGTGTTACCTCTATAACTCTGTCTCAAGAACTTACTGATGACTTAATTACAACAGAGGGATGCGAAGACAGTGAACTGGAAGAAACTGAATTTGATGGTCTGCCTCCTTCTGCTCCTCCTCCACCATTGCCGAGAAATGACACAGATGAAGAAAGTTATTCTGGTGAAGTGCCTGAAAAAAAAGCGGAAGACATTGGAGATAACGTACCTTTGAGCCCACCAGCCAATTTCGAAGACTTTGTTGATGAAAGTATTGAATCTGCGTTATCTTTCGACCCAGAAGTAGAGGAAGTAAGCACATTAGCACCACAGCCTCCGCGTCTGTTCAGTGAAGACGCACAGTCACCCTCTTCAAAAAAAATTCAGAAGAAGGAGAACTTAAAGCAAAAGTCCGATATACAATATGCTTCACAAGAGAAGCAGAAACGACTTCCTGAGAACTTAAAACAACAGATACCACCAATTAAACCCCCTAGATTGTTTGGAGACAATGTAAAAGATGAAAGCATACATCAAGAAGTACCCTTAAAGGCCATGAACTATTCGTGTGTGGAAGATGCAGCTGCTTTGGAGTCTCTGCCGTGGAATGGACTGGATAAAAGTCCAATCAAGCCGCCAAGTTTGTTTGATGACGAGCTAGAAAGTCTCCCAAGCTTACCGAGTGCTCCGCCGCCACCTAAACCAAGAAGACAATTTATCAGTCTGGACACAGATTCCTCGACTTCTTCGTCGCCACTTCATTCTTGTCGGTTTGATCGGGAATCGCCAAGTCATTCACCAAATATTGAAAGCTCGAATCTTATGGTAGAATCTGGATCATCATCCCCTTCCCATGGACATACTTCCATATTTGGCATACCAGATGCATTTAGTGACGTGCCTATTCAGCCGCTGGATGACGTAGATGATGACATGTCAAGCCTTCCTCCTGCCCCTCCACCACCTCGTTGTCCAGTCAACAGGTCATCTAGCTGGTCTGTCAAATCTGATGAGTCGGTTCCATCGCCACTTGGAGATGTACAACCTACTCATAACACCAACCCTCTACCACACCCCGTCAAACCAGAACGAAAGAATTCAAAGAAAAGGATATTACCCTTGCCAAGCAAGTCAAAAAGAGGAAAAAAACCATCGGAGCAATCTGGTTCCTCTGGTAGAGGCAATGGACTCCATGAATCACTAGCCCACCCTATTCAGGTGGATTTTGTTGCTCCAATAACGTCAAGTGATGCCAATGAAGCCGATTCATTGACGCATGTGGAGCCACCCGATGATGACATGGAAAGCTTACCCCCAGCCCCTCCTCCACCGAGGATTTCACCCCTCACTGTAGAAAGTTTGGAAAGTTTTGCAGATGGTTTACAAGTTGTTAACGTTAAAACCAGCCCTGCGCATTCAGCCCTTGAAGAAGACAGAGCCATATCATCATCATCTGTGCATCCATCTCAATCCTCTCCAAAGAAAAAGAAGAAATCTTTTAGAAGAAATGTGATAGAGATGGAGGCTGAAGGATTCATACCTGAATCTGGAGGCGTGTCAGTTCATTTTCCTGTTGTACACGAGAGAGACCGCTCAGCAGACGGTTCCTGGAAGCATCTTGCCCCACTGGAAGATGACGTTGCCGTCACAGATTCGTCCGATGCAATGTCCCCACCCCCCTTACCTCCGGAAATGGAGCTTTGGTCAGAGGCCGGAGCAGCAGAAGCAGAGCTTGCTTTACTGGATCGGATATTGACTTTAGAGGACTCGTCACGCTCTGGCAATGAGCAGGACAGTGAAGGAGGAAGCTCGTCGTCCTGTAAGCCGCCATCATTTTTCACGGAATTGTCAAATCTGGACACAAAATCCTCACAAAGTAAGGAAGGATCAACAGAAAATACATATCAAGAGACCCTTCACCATTCCATGATGTCAACGGAAGGTTTTGGTCAGACCAACATCGCCTTTTCATCACAAGAGGAACTTTCTGACACGGACTCTGGAGGAACACCTGATTTGGAACCCAAAAAAAATAGCTCCTCGATCAATTCGACGGAAGCAAATGTAGAGTCAAAACTCTATTCTAAAAAAATTGACTTGAGAGGGCCAGCACCAAGTAACACACATTTCAAATCAAAAGGGAAAAAAAAAAAACAAGTAACTGGAGGTGAAGATCCGGCTGAGAATTTCACCAAGCAAAGGAGGCCAGCTCCCCCTATCCCTGCAAGACCGCCTGCCAAAAGCAAGGCCAGTGGCACACCTCGAAAGTCGCTTCCAGGGGGTATAGCTGTGCTTCCCTCCAAGCCTGATGTTAAACCAAAAGCAATTTCTCCGTCACAAGAACCAACACAGCAACTCAAGAAAGAGCCAGAAAGACTATCTTCACCAATGAAAGAGAAGTCCACAAAGAAACTGTTCTCAAGAAGTCATAAAAGTAAGGACAAAAAAGCTGATCCCAACCATCTACAATCACCTGACACTTCATTTGACACAAATCCAAAAAAACATGAAAGATCGCGATCTTGGACCAAGAAACTTTTTGGCTTTCGCAGTAGAAGTAGAAGCAAGAACCGAGAGAAGCCAAAGGATCGAGAGAACAGGAGTCGATCTGTATCAAAAAAAAGAGGATTGTTTTCCAGATCAAAGAGGTCCAGTCCGCCTCTTCCTCCACCCACAACAAACAAGGACTTTTTGAGTAAACAAAAGAAAGAGATTGGGAGAAATGGCTCGGTTTACGACGACGTTGAAAAGCCAATTTTCGACGAAACTAAAGTTCTCTCACAGACATTGCCATATACTTTTAAATTAAGTGATCCATCCTCACAGAGGAAAGACTATGTAGAAAGGCACAATAACAAATTTGGTGTGTCAAAAACAAATGATGAAGGCATGAGGCCTGCAGTGGCGACAAAAAAAAAAAATTTTCAGCAAAGTGAAGATGGTAGTTCAATAGAACAAGATGAATCTTGCAAAAAAAGCGCGAATGGCGAGAATGATAATTTGGATCATCATGAGACGGAATTTGAGATTGATATTCAAGGTGCCAGTTTGTTCACAGACGATGATGATGTAGTGGAATCTCATGTTCTTGCTGATGTGGATACATCCCTTGCAAACAGGCCACTTCCGCCATCTCCCCCGAGACGTGAAAAACAACCGAATGTAAGCGCCGTGATAACAGCTGAATATGAAGAGCGCAATGCCGTTAAAGATAACTTCCCAACGAAATCTCCTTATAAACCTCCTGTTCCAAAGAAGCCCACTTTCCTAAAGTCTGGCAGTACTCCTAGTAGACAACAAAAAGACACTATAGATGAACTCAAACAGAAAATCAACAAAGAAAGACTGGGAACGTCACCATTTATGACTGGGAATCTTACCTCTGACACTGAAGATAACGAAGCCCAGAACAGTGACGTTTTTCCATCGCCTGATACACCAGTTTTTAAGGCTATGCCACCTCCATTGGCACTACAAGCCAGTTCAAGTCTAGCTGAGAAGGACGACTTTAATATAGCGCCACTTTGTCCCAACTCACCAGGCCCTCCTAGATTCAAACCAAAAAAACCACCTTTATCTTTGAAGGCAGTTACTGTGCAGGAGAATGCCACAGGAGATGAAACATCAGTTTCTCCGGTATCCCCGGGCCCTCCTAATTTTAAGCCAGCACCTCCGCCTAAAAAAACGCTGGTTCCAAATAAGAACATCGGTAGTGGAAACGAAGACCTATCGAGCACAATTGGTGTTCCCACTGTCAAACCTTTACCTCCAATTCCTATTCTCGGTAGGAGTAAAAAAAAAAAGGATACATTTCCAACGGAACAGAATGATGAAGAAGATAACTATGATATAGTCGCGCCAGTACTGCACAATGACGAGCCTCGAAAAACGAAACCGCTACCTCCAATCCCTACTGACCTGAACGTGAAGAGTACAGCTAACACCCTCGAGCTTACATTGTCAAGACAGAACGAAAAAAAAGTTGACAAAAAAGATTTCAACAACCCTGAGATATGGGAACAAAACACTGACCCATTACCTTCACAAATTCACCTGAATGAGTACAATGATTATCCACACTTGTCACAAGGGGAAGAACCAGTAGTCACACAGGATGTCACTCATGAGGTCAATGCATACAATACGGATGACTTTGATAGCTCAGACTTTTCTTCTGAATGGGATGATACTTGTAGTTCAACTCAAGAATATTCGGGCCAACTTTTTTCTGGTAATAAGGTCGCTAGAAGTGCTAGTTTTTCTGCCGGAAAAAAACCAGTTCAGCGTCCCTCTGTTGTTGATGAGGCGACGAAGCGATCCACTCCTGAAAAAAAGTGTCCCCCTCCTTTCTTCCGTAGAAGGTCATCCTCTTTACCTCAGCTTCTTGCCGACTCCCACACGAATGAAGCGTCAGAAGGAAGAGTTGGGCAGGCGGATCACTGGCACACTGGAAACCTTCAGCGGCTTATTGACAGCAGGAACCAGGAGGAGGATGTTGATGAAGAAAAAAAGGAGGTGCAGGTGAGTGTCGTTGTACTGAGGGTTTAATAACCCATCATTCGTAAAAAAAATTGATCTCTGTTCTTTCGTGGAACGGAATCTTTTATTCAAAATATGAACAGTTAATGGGAGAAGGAGTGACAGTGGACCCAGAGGGTGACACTGATTGGAGGAGTGAACTTGATTATGACCTTCAGTCACTTTCCAAGTTAAAAGTGAGGTTTGATTTAGTCATTTCGTTCTCGTGTAGGGAACCTGGAAAATGTTAGGGGTGTGATCGATCAAACCTATTACCGCTGGGAAATGGAATCGGTGTTCAATGACAGACAATAACTTTGTTCATTCTATGAAATCAGTAATGCGTAGATGGCTAAGCGATTCATTTTTCCTTGAATGCAGCTTCTTAAAGAACAGAAATCTATTGGCTTAATGGTCGTGGGAGGTCTGGACACCCATCTAGGCATGCTGTATATAAAAAATATTCAGCCCAACTCTCCAGCCGCCAGTTGCAATCGACTCAGAGTTGGAGACCAGCTGTTACAGGTCAATGATAATTGTCTTGTGGGAGTAACTCATAATGAGGCCTTGAACATTAAAAAAAACACACCACCGCTGGTGAAACTCACTGTGGCAAGGAAGAAGAATAATGAAAGAAAAAAAATTGAACTGGTGGCGGAAGGAAGGCGTGCTCCAGACACTGAAGAACCTATCGTCTCCTCCGCTCGTGAATCGAGCACAATTTCAAAGACTGCGTCAGATCTGCCCGTGAGCCCACTTCCTGACAGGGGCCAACGCCCCAAGTCATTGATTAGCCTCTCGTCTTTCGGAACGTCATTTAGTAATGATCCTTCTCCGGCCTCTCCATGTGGTTCGTTGGATGATTCTGATGACTACATCCCCGCCTACCTGGAGCCAGAGAGCCCGACACTGACCCTTCGTCAGGATGACGTTCCCGTGACCATTATTGATGGTATTCCTGGTGGGTATGACTCCACAACAACAGAGGATGAAGAAGAAGTCAAGCCTGTCAGTAAAAGCGTCAGTTGGGCAGTCAGTAGTGACGACGCTAAGGTGTTTACTGTAGAACTCTTGAAGAATAGCCGGGCAGGTTTGGGACTGAGTGTCACTGGGGGAGTGGACACATCTCATGAAGACATCATGGTGAGTATCATTGACGCTCCCAGAAAAAAACCTCTCCTCTTGCACTTTCTTGTCTCTTACTCGAAACTTTACTGGAATCACGCGTTATCCTTTTTACGTTGTCTCCTTATGAATTCCTTGTTTATCCTAATCCTTTCCCTTTCCTATTACCCTCCAATCTACCATCCTGTATTCTCACGTATTGTTCTCTAATTCCTCCCCAGTAGTCTAATTCTTCTCCATGTTTTTCCCTCTCACCAGACGCTGCTGGTCCTTCTCTTCCCACAGCACTCGTTCATCTTCATCCCCCTATTTCTCTTCCTACTGTGTTCCTCTTCAAAAAAAATTCCTCGACCTTCTTCCTTTCTCCAACCCCCTCTATGTCCTCTAGCATAGTGAAAAAAATCATCGTATCAACTCGTTCCTTCCCACAACCGTTATTCCTTGTTTTTTTTTTAAAAAAAGTTTTTTTTTTGTTTGTTTGTTTTTTTTTTTCATTTCTGTAAATACAGAAAGAAAAAAAACGAGCTTACTTAGCCAGCGAGCCTCCTCTTATCGTCGTCAGGATTCGAGCAACGAACTGGCGGACGCAGGGTAGATCTTACTAAATATTTGTCTTTCTAACACAGAGGACTGTTAATTATAGATTTAAATCTATTGGAACTTCAGAGTCCTTTGAGTTAGCACTTAAAGCGATGTGGTAGTAAAATCGTGAACTCTTTCGGCCGTTTATTTTGTTTGCTTTTGTTTTTTTAGGTGCGGCAGATTCTCTCCAACAGCGTCACAGCTCACAATGGACATATTAAGAAGGGAGATATCCTGTTGTCTGTCAATGGCAAGTCCTTCAAGGGATTAACAAATTCAGAAGCCTTAACACTTCTCAAAGACACTCCTGAGCGGGTTACTCTTGTTGTAAGCCGGCCATTAGGACATAGACAACAATCTAAGGCGACGAATCCTCTTCGAAACAAAAATCCCAACAAAGAAAAAAAAACTCATTTTGATGCTTGGCCTACGAGGGAGGAATTGACTAAGAAGAAAAACCTAAAAAAAGCAAACAATGCCACACCGCCAACGTTCGAGAAAATCCCATTAGACGTAGCGAAACAAAATGGAGAACATTCTACCTTCGATCGTTTAAAGAAGAGATTCTTCTCTAACGGTGGGCCCATAAGACTCCAAAAATTACCCCATGGACCCTCTGTGACCGAAGTAACGCTTGAAAAGGGGGCCTCTGGATTAGGGTTCTCTTTGGGAGGGGGCCAGGATTCGCTTTATGGTGATGCTCCGATTCATGTGAGATATGTGTTCAAGGAAAGCGTGGCCGGAAGGAGTGGTGCTTTGAAGCCTGGGGACGAAATTATTGAAGTGAATGGACAAAGGGTGGCATACATGGCAAATGTGGACGTTCTTGAGCTGATCAGAAGATTGCCGTACGGACCAGTAGTTATGAAGATAAGACGGAAATAACACAAGGCGCGGCTGTTATTTGTTTAAACAGCTAGCCAATCATGGTGCAAAAAAAATGTGCGCGAACAGAGAGGAATCCTTTGTTCACAATGCTGTTTAATTCAGTGAAAAAAATAATCTGGAATATCGTAAGCTTGCTTTACCTCGCTTGCTGATTGGTCTAGAATCCCCCTTTCAACCTCTCAACCAATCAGATTTAAACCTAAAACGGAGTTGGTTACTCGCAAAAAAACGCGCTTCCTGGTTGGCATGCGCACCACAAGGTTCATGGCACACTGCATCGTTGTGATAGCGTGTGGTTTGGTTCACGACACTACATTAAAAAGCAATCTACTTCTGAACCAAAAAAACTAAGAAACGTGCTGACTTTGATCGATTCCAGCAATTTCGTATTTTAAACCAATCGCCGAGCTTAATAACATCGCAACTAGGTAGCTCCGTATACAAATCGTTGCTGGTCGAAAAAAACGGTAAACAGTTGTGAAAGAAGTAAATTCCCATCGCACCAAGCACAACGTATCTAATAAGTATAAAGTCAACAATATAGTCATATGTTGTTGCTGTAATTAAAATGTTGATTTTCGCCGAATCTAACGAAAAATCAGATCTTTATAATTTTTCATAAATCTGCGGTGACGACACGATGTGACCTTTTCCAATTGTATATACTTTCTGTTAGAGAATTGCCCAACCATATGCAATCAGAGCGATACGTTTCAACGTGTTTTTGAAAGAGTAGATAGCACTTCTAACATCAGCTCTCAAATCATTCGTGCAACTATTATTTATTGGACAAAAGTGTTACCTCATCATTTCAATATTTACGTCAATGACGATATAACTAATGAAAGAGAAATTTATTGTACGATCAACCAAAGGTATTTCATCGGCAGCAATTAATGTACATCATATCAAAGAATAGCTGTCAATAAAAAAAAAAAATTTTTTAAGATTTTGTACCTGTGGTGGTATCTTTTTGGGAGGCTGATCATGAATAATTTATTACCATTTTTGAAAGTTTGCTTTAAAGAAAAGAGACCCCTATCCTCCCAGGCTGAGCAAGGGAAACATCTGCTTGAACAAAACAAGTCTGTGGGAGCTTCTCTTGGTAAAAAAAACACGAAGTAGAAAGAAGTATTACTATTCCTCCCCCACATGGGATGGCAGTCTAATCGAAGTATTTGCCCCTACCCATCCCCTCTTTCTCCTTTACCTGTCACTTGCCCACTTGCTACATTTTTTCCTCTCCCCAGCCTTCCACTGACGAAAAAAAACAAACAAACCAACAAAAAAAACAGCTGTAATTTTGACCAAAAACATACTATGCACCCATTTGCCAAAATTACAAAAAAATGCAAGCTAACCATTTTCAGAAAGATCTTTAAGCAGCAATGAAATGCATTTCTCTTCACAGGCTAGAAAGTAGGCTCATCCTCGGTGCAAAAACCTGTGAAGCTCACGAGTGACATAAAACTAAGACAACAAAACGTTATTAACAATAGCATACAGCAAAACAATACCTCATGAAACAAAGAAAACCTCGTCAGGTTTTTACACCGTGGATGACCCAGAAAGTAACATAAAAAAAACTAGAATTGGTGAAGAGAAATTTACATGTTCTTTGTTCTCTACGGGATAAATCCACCACAAATAACCTATAAAAGTCTAGCAAAGACAAGCAGTCTTTAATTTTTTTGGCAGGATTTCTACCATAATATTTTTTGTACTTATCAAGGTTAATACTTAGCTGATTAAAATAATAAAACATCAATTCAACAGCTTAACAGTTATGGGCAGCTAACTATACTGTACAGATCGCTTGCCATAAGATTTTCTGTATGAGTGATCAAACTGACCCAAAACTCCTATGGTTTTCTAAAAACTTGATTAGAACATCAACCATTTCTGTAAGAATGCAAAACAAAAAAGCCACCTTCTTAGTCTTTACATTTGTCTACATTTCAGTGAAGTGAAAGTTTCTATTCAACTGAAGTCATCATTTTGAGACATAAATATGGCAATTCTAAAGCACTGTTCTGCAATTTCTGCCTCAAAAAAAAATTTCTGTTGGAAAAAGAAGTGTTTAGGATTTTAAACTTCAAGAGGCAGAATTGTTTAGTCTCTTATGCATCAAAAATCTTGCACACAATATTTTCAAAGGTTTTCCTCTAAAAAAAAACTCCTCACTTTCATTACATTGTTATCGCACAAACTAAATTCCATCTTTCTAGAGCACCCACTGCTAACAAGGCAATACAATAATGCTGCTGTTTTGTTACTCGTCGTTGTAAAAAAAAGGTTTAATAAGATGTTCCCTTTAATTTCTTCCCAACAGAATGTATGTAATAAAAAAAAAATAGGATATTACTCAGCTACTTATTAGGGATTACTTAGTATGAACAATGTATAAAAAAAATTAATGGTATTAAAAATAATAGTTCAATCACAAATGGTCAGCTTATCTACGAAACTTTACACAAAGTCATTGACATATATATATATTTTTCAGACAAATACTAAAATTAAAAAAAAAAAAACATCCATGGCCTGATATTCTAGAAGTCCATAATGAACACAAAGAACACAAAAAAAAAACACATTCAATTCCTTTTTTTTTAATCCAATCCTCGGGTGGCTTATTACTGACCTCAACTGTAACTTCAACTACCTTGCATGACTAATACCAATTACATGTGTCTACATAAGTCCTTGGACAGAGAATAGAGAAACCAAACACCATTTTATATCTAAGTGTATTTAGCAAAAAAAAAGCATTAGAATGCTATCCAGTTAACCTATGTTAATTTTGAAACAATGAATGAAAAAAAAAATGACAAAAGAGAGAATGAATTGAGCACTTTTTCATGTACTCTGAGCTGCAAAAAAAAAGGAATTAAGGGATAATTTGTGCCCAGTCAATCGCTTACACTGAGCATGTCAAGATGGTTGCATGGTTTTACCATCCTTGTTTATGGTTCATTATTTATCTCATTTAAGTATTTTTCTATCTTATCAAACTGATATTTTGTGGCTTCTCTGACACTGGAGGCAATATTGTGTGTACAGATAATAAATGGAACTGTCATAGCAGACGTCCTTCAAACGACACATGTCTGAAAAAAACATTTTGTGCAACAGATGAAACCTATCTACATTTACCCACAGTCCTCTATTTAAAAAAAGCAGAAATAACACACCACATGACCTCATTAGCATTTGGTTTCTGCGCTTGTTCTTCAGGTTCAAGATCTAAAAGGTCCTTAACACGTTTCATTGCGAGTTCATAATCATCATCTGACAGTGGAGCAAATGCATTCTCCAGAACATCAGAGGAGTGAGCAAGATAGATAAGTGACAAAGTCCTCTTATCCATTCGATGAGGATCATTCACCCATTTCGATAAAACAGCCTCTTGCACTTTGCGTACAACTCGCTGTTTGGAAACAGAATCTACTAGTGGGTGGGTAGTCAAAAAAAACAGAAGGAAATTCTGTTTCTCAGTTGTAAGAACACCCTTTTCCACAAGATTCTTTGCCAGACGTTCACGGACATTCCTAAGCTGATATCTTAGCTTCAGAGGGTTCCAGGTCTCACCTGTCAAAGAAATAACAGTTGAAGGTCTAATACGCATTCTCCCAAAAATCTCTAAAAAAATTAAGACCTGAGAAAACTGCTTCTTGTAAAGAACATCTTTGACCAAGCCACTAAAAAAATTTTGAAAGTCTTTCAAAATACTTGTAACAAATAAACCAAGTCTAATGTGTGAAAAAAAAGAGCTCTTTGGCCCAAAATTATTAAAAGAGGCTTTGAAAAATGCACCACTGAAAAAAATACTGCCAAGATCTAAATACCAATTCTTGGCACTGTGCTACCATACAGTTTGAAAAAAATTAACCATGGGAATTTGGTATTGAATAAAACAATTCACCCTAGTTTAGATTTAAAAAAATTCTCATAATAATTAAGTGTGAAAGTGTACTGATATTGTGTACACATTCCTTTTTTATCAAATCAAGGAGTAGGAATAGGAACCTCTCTAGAGTCTTGTTAATGTTTTGATAAAAAAATAACTATTACCAGGAATTTCAACATAGAACTGGACAACTGCAGCACTTTTGAAAAAAAAAAAATGATGTAAAAAAAGGGAAAACATTTCAACACGGGACATATGGGCAATAAAAAAAAGAAGTTTAAACAAATTGGGATTGCACTAAACAAATTTCTTTTAAAGAAGAACAAAAAAACTTTACAACAACATATCAAGATGAATAAAAGAGGTCCTATTAGCAACAATTAAAAAAAAAAACAAACAAACGGTGGCAATGTTTAACGAGTATGGTACTGTGGTCTCAGGCAAAAAAAAACGCAAAAAAAATTATTTCAATCGAGTACGTAATTCTGTATCAATAGCTAAAAAAAAACACACTTCTATCCCAAGAATTAACATATCTCGTGGATAAATCATATCGGAAAACTTACTCCAGGGTGAGTTTGATTGTAAACTGCAAAATGCTAAATAGTGACACGTTAAAATGTCTCCAGGGCCGACCAATCTCATTACCATATTACCTAAAAGAATGCTGCTCTTTCAGGGAAACCTTCAAAGCTTCTAGAGGGCTAGGGATGCAGTGAATCACTTAACATAGCGTTTATCTGACGCCTTGAACAAAAACTGTGGATCGTCGCTAAAAAAAATTAGTTGAATCATTAAAAAAAGTCATCACCAGAAAACGAATTGAAGTGTTTTAAACCGATGTGATTATAAAACATAGAGTAGCTACAGCGTACACTTGAAACACTGAGGTAGATTTATTTGAGCTATGACGAGAAAATAGAACTTCTCTCATAAATATGGCATAAATAATGTGATCGTGTTTCGTTTAACAAAAAAAAGTCGACTTACCACTTAGGAGTTCTATCCAGTTTTGCGCCGTATCAGGCGGATCAGTTTCTTTGATGTGTTTCAAGGCCTCATCCAGCAAAACATCACCCGTTAGATTATCATTCTTAAAAAGAACACGTCTGTTAAGCAAGCTCTTTCGTCGCATTCCGGTTTTCTCGAGTTCAATTCTTCCTCTTAGACCCAGTTCGATGATCATACATCCGCGCAAGCCCGAAGAAAAAAAAAAATTCCAAAACGACGTGTAACCCTGATTAGAGAAGCGAAACTTTTCGTTAACAGAGAACTATAAAAATCTACACCAAGAACAGGAATAAAAAGACTACCTCTTTGTCTTTTAGTCCCAACAGAAGCACTTCTTCCATCAGAGTGAGCCTGGTCTCTTTCCTATCGCCAGATTCTCCGTCGCTTTCGTAACCTTCGTTCCCTTCGATGTCGGGATTGTCTTCTGGCGTTATTCCGCTAGAGGCTGTACTGCGTTGAACTAGCTGCCCCGTTCTTCTTGTTGCCATTTTTCACCCAAAGAAGAACTAAACAAGCTGGAATGACTACCAGTCACGAAAAGAGTACCATTAGAAAAAAACCTGTTTTGCCAATATGGCCGTGTTGGCCGGTTTTACAATAGTACTCGGTCGAATTGACCCATGGGAAAATGGGCCACACACGCCACCATCCCACCCGACCCTGTACTCGTAAAAAAAGATTTGGAATATTCTACATTTTTCGAGATTTTAAATATCACTAGGACATCTTAAAAAAACATTGTCTTATTTCTTTATATGGCGAGTACTCCTGTGTTTTACAAGCTTCTCAAAAAAAACTTAATTTGTCCTTGAAAATCTGTGAATGTGTTGTTCTACATAACCGTTTTAAAAAAACAGAGCCATCACTTGGAGATGTTTTGAATTGGAAACGTAACTTACCACGCAACTACAAATCAGTCCTGGGACCTTAAAGCTGGACAAACAGTAATGCAGATTGAGAACATGAAAAAAAAGCCTTCAGTTAATCAAAACACAAAAACTCTAACATCGTGCAAGGTTGATTAAAAAAATTTACTTAAGTTAATGTCCCGTAATTCATTGCATTAGCATAGATCATACACTGGGTCATTTCTGCAACTTTTTTTATTCCTCAGTGGAACTCAGGTCCAGTAAATTTAGATAAAAAAAGCCAAAAAATCTGGATGAAACTGCCGCCAAAGCAAAAGGAAAACAAGGTCTGTTGAGCAATATTACCAGTGCAAAGCGGAAATAATATCTTATCACAAAATGTCGGCAAAAATGAATCGATAAACTAGCGAGATGGGAATATTCAGGAAATAATTTAGGCACTCAAAGAAAGGGGCTCTTGATTTAAAGACATCCGTGTGTCTGTGCACTGCCGATCTTTATATAAAAAAAAAAAATTCCTCACTTTCAATAAGATACAAAAACTTTATTTTGGAACGACAGCTGTTGAAAAAAAGGCTTCGAGAACGATTTTAACGTGTGCGGGTAGAAGAGCACACGTCTATAAAAAAGATAAAACACAGGTTGCTGGAAACTAATGGGTGCTCATGGGTTTCAACGGAACTTAAAAAAAACACTTACCAAAGAGTTTATACGCTGTCAAAGTCGTAATGAGTTTGACAGTGTTAAAGGCTTAGTCTCCCCCACCACTCTTCCTCCCCTCCCCCATTAAAAAAAAGAATCACAAAAAAAATCTCTAGTTAAGGAAGCAAATGAATTGATGTGAGCATGTAATAAAAAGAGAAAAAAAAATAACAACAAAAGCAACAACGTGAACATAACCAGAGGTGTCTTCAAAGCTATAAAAAAATGGAAGAGGATTCATCTCCTGATTTTAATAGGACCAGAGTTTGATAACGGCTCTTATGCGTATTTCAAAGTTTCTAACAATACACCAATCAATTCACATGTCTTATGGCCAAAAAAAACATTTGTTATTTATTTTAGGAAAGTTGCTTAACAAAAGAAACGCCAGTGCGTAAAAAAATAAACAGGTGTAAATTTGAGAACCCTCCAGAAGCTGTCTAGATGAGTATGTTAAAAAAATAAAGAACGATCAAGAAAAGCAATTTAGCGCTCTTTTTTCTAAGGAAGTTTGAAAAAAAGGAAGTTTTAACTCGGTTGCTTGGACAACTTTTGCCTTTTTTTGTCTTGTAGAAAAAAACGTTCTCAGTGTAAAAGAAAAAATTGATATAAACGCGTAACGACACAAGGTGCGCCGAGTGTTTCACTAGTGGGAACTAAGACACTTGTAAATCATTACGACCAACCACGAAAAAAAAGAACACTCGTGACACATTGCTCTTGCCACTCGAACATAAAATTCATATTTTCTCCCGTTTGGTATTCCCTTTGTATTTTTCGGCACTCGAATATCTCAGTCGTTTCATACAATTACAACGCAGTCCTTCCGTCTCGTGCTTTGTGACAAAGATTTCTTTCTTTTTCTTTCAAAAAAAACGATCAAGTCGAATTAAAAGAAAACCGTTTTTCTTCAATTCTGTCATCCTCTTCTCCCCTTTAGTTCTGTACGTGATACTGTTCTGAAAAATGAGCAGAGTAAAGGGATCTATGGAGTGATTGTAGGGGGAGAGGGAAGGGGGGCCGGGGGGGGCTATTTTCCCCCACGAAAAAAAGCGCCCTGAGTTGCAGAGGGAGCAAGAGTATCATTTCCACTCTCTTTTTGAAAAAAAAAGGGACACGTTAAGATATTTTTATTTATATCTGATATACTAAGCCAGGAGCATTGGGCTTCTGGATAAGCTGAATCTTGTTCCCAGATCCTATTGTGTTACTATAACTGAAAAAAAAAACGCCCGTAAAAGGTCTGGGCACGAGACTAGCTGTTTTGATCGGTTCTTGCCTAAAAAAAGGCAGCCCAAGCTCACTGCTAGAAAAGCGGACGTGACTCTTACCGTGTTGCGAAAAAAATTATATTTATAAAGGTTTGTATGGGATGTTATCGGTTTGCCTTAAAAGAGAGAAAAAAATGTCTTGTTTTGAAATAAAATGGACTTACCTTATTGCCTTGTTGTTTTCTTTGTTGATTCCTAGCGTCTCAGGCCATTTTGAAGCGTTTTCGGCGAGTTAGCGCTATGTTGGTGTTCAACTGCTAAAAGAAAGACAAGGCCGGAAACCTATTTTAGAAGTGTCCGTCGCCCGAAGCGAATAATTCCGCCAAAAAATTACCACCAGTCTCGATTCCTCCAGAAAATCAAAGCAGAGATGTTGCAGTTTCATTTCCATTCACTCGATTCCCAATTCCTCCCACAGATCTTTCACTAGCGATGCTTTTATCTCCAGATCGATCGGCTTTCCAATTTCGAATTTGGCTGCTTGAAACATTTGCGG